TACAGGTACAGTTAAAACATTTAAAAGACATTTGGATAAGTACATGAATAGAAAGGTTTGGAGGAATATGGGCCAAACCCACGCAAGTGGGGCTAGTTTAGTTTGTGAACATGTTTGGTGCAGACTAGTTGAACCAAAGGGTCTATTTCCATGCTGTAAGACTCTATGACTCTAAATGTTTACTCTCCTGTGCTCTGTGTCTTCTAGATGTGGGGACTGAGTTATATCTTTCTCACCAGGTCGACAGTTCTGTCTTGGCGTGGAATCCAAGAACATCATCAGAAAAAAGACCCATCTTTTCAGGAGGAACGAGGGAAAAGGCTCAAAACCAACGCAAAAATTAGTCAAATCCATGGCAATCCAACTTGTTCTCACCCAGTAAACATACTGATTAAGCTATTTATTCGCATATGTCAGCTGAGAAACCAAGGATTCTTAACAGGAGACTGACGGGGTAACACAACTTGGGTTACAGACTGATCTCTTACCCCCGTGGATCACTGTCAGAGTCTCAATGACATTATAGCGATCCAATGGTGGGAATTACAGCAGGACTCATACCAGTCTATTTTGCAGCAAGAAAAATGTCAGTTGATTCAGCCAAGCTAATTTACCGAATCTATTAAAAAGACTGAACTTCAGCAAACAGAACTCATACATGGCTGCAATGTAGCAACATGTCCCAGAAAAGCAGGCTGATTTTTCAGTAAAATAGTCAGTGAGGATACTGACATGTTCATAAATCAAATCGCAGTTATGTGCATCAGCCAACCATCTCCATTCTGGTAGGGAATAGAGGTATCATGCAAGGAGCCCTCAATTAAGTCTGCTGCAACTCCTTAGCAAACTCTGTACCACAAGTCACATTTCCAAGTGATTTGTCAACAGAAGAGCTTGAGCAAAACCAATCAGCAATCTCAGCCATTTGCTACTAGATAAACCTTACAGTGATCAGTTCAATAAACTGCCTATTTCACACACAGCCTAATGTCCAATTATTTTTAAATCAATGTTTTATAACAGGCCTATTTCACGAGACAGGATTTAGTATATCTAGATGGAATTTCACAGAAGAATCCATTGCAAGGACACTAAAAGGGATTTCTATTGGGAATTTGGTACAATACTGAAATAGATGGATGAAGAACATCGCCTCCATATCCTTTGCTTACGAGGGTGCAACAAAGGTGCCGGGAAATAACATTCATAGTCAGACAAATTGAACACTGCTCTCTGCATCTTTATATTGTATGTTTAACAAAGCAAAATGCTCCAAGAACATAACAATTCAATTTGCAGAATGAATCAAGTCCTGAGATATGCATGGTAAACTGGTTAAACAAGACCAACATCATCCTTCTTACTGTCAGGGTAAAAGCCTAACACATTTTTAAATTACAATCAGAACAATGACTTTACTCTTGTAACGGCTCACAAGACAAAGGGTGGTTTCTGGTAGGTAGCATAATTTAAGAATCAGTCACAATTTCCTTCTCATTCAATTCTGTGTAATCTACAACAGTTGCGCTTAAGTGCCACGTAGATTCCAAGATGTGTCTATTAGAAGGAAAATTGTTCAAGCATCAATCAGGTCTGATGAAGAGTCCTGACCTGAAATGTCAATTTTCCTGCTCCTCTGCTGCTGCCTGACCTGCTGTGTTCCTCCAGCTCCACACTGTATTGACTCTGACTCCATCTGCAGTTCTTGCTATCTCCGAGATTGTTCAACAGTAGTTATTTTTGCAGTTTCCAAACATACAATTAACAGAAATGTTAGGTCTGCCAAAGGACGCTAGCGTAACCAATAATATCAGCACAGCAGACAACCAGGAATATGAAAAGTGCTGGAGAAACTCTGCAGGTCTAACTGCATCTGTGGACTCAATCAGATCAGACTTGAAACATCAACTTCTTTTGTCTCTCCACAGTTGCTGCCAGACCTGCTGAGTTTCTCAGGCACTTCATTTTTATTTCTAAATCCAGCATCCACTTTCTTTTTTAACAGAAGATCAAGTATTGGAATTGCAGCAAAACAAAATCTTGAAATGAAATATTATCAGCAGAAATAACTAAATTAACAAGAAAGCTTCCAAAAGGGCTTGCGAAGAACTAATGCAGCATTTTGTAACTGTGAACAACTTGGGTTTTGCCAATTACGTCTCTCACAAGAGATTCACTGGGTGAGAGACATTGATATGATAGCTGTCAACAGAAAAGTGGACTGACAGCATGTAATGGGGAACATACTTGGCTTGCACAACTACTCAGACTGCATGAGGGAAGACAGTTCTCATCAACCTGAACAAACTGTTTCTCTCTCCACAGATGCAGCCTGACCAGCTCCACACTCCGAACTTTCCATCTTTCAGATCTCCATTATCGTCAGTTTTTTGTTCATCTGTAGGCAGCGGTAATATGAATTTTTGCAACACAGACTGCTACCAGTTGGGTTTAACTGCAATGCAGCACCAAGAGATATTTTGAAACGTACTCAGGAAGTTTGGATTGTTTTAAAAAAATCCACCAAAGTGCAGTTTTCTTCTCTCAACATCTGAAGAAACCATGCTCTTCCTTGTAAAGATGAAGCGTCAATCAGGTATTGAAGGACAAAGTTGCAAGATACTAGCAGTAAGGGAACTCTCAGCTACGGTAATAACCCTAGCACAGCAACTCCATAGACATCCGAAAGAGACAGCAGCACTTGACCAGTCTGTTTCCCATGCAACAATAACCATTTTGTCACATAGAATACTGGTTTAACGTGCAAATTGTATGAAAAAGGAGGCATTTAAAGAACAAACAGTAATATAGGTTGCTACAATAGACCATTCCAAAGTATAAGTTACATTCCATTCTGCCTTGAAAAAGGGGCAGGATAGATAGTAAGGGCTTCAATTGGTCACCAAATCATTTCAGTGGTGGTGATTAGGGAGGGGGGGCTCCATGTTGAGCATGGCTACTATTACTTTTGCTCTTAAATTATGTTGGTTCTATGTAGTTTGGCCTCAGGGAATTCCCAGAACAGTTGAATATCTGTGTAGTGGAGGCTCACAGAAATTCTAGGTGGTGCAAAAGCCATAAAAGAAACCTGCACAGAATTAACAGTTTGGTATCTGAACTACATGGGCTCTGTGTGGTTGGGGGTTTACGGGAGTACTAGAACAGTTGAAAAGCTCTGCAGAATAATGGATGTGGGAAGACTAAAGAGTCTGAGGGAAGCTGGTGCATAATTAGTATTGCGGTACAGCAGAGAGTGAGGAAGTAAGAGCTCAAAAACAGTGCTAACTTTGTGCAACTGAGCCAGATTCGAGGTCAGGAAATAAATCCAGGAAGAACAATATTGAAGTGCACTGTTTGGGAAAAGCTAGTGTTGTGCTTGCAAACGTTGGAATGTAGTTAAAAATCCAGGGAAATGTAGCTCCATGAAAGGAAGGTGAACAGCCAGAATGTGAGCAGTCTTTGAGGCGGTCCATGTGGATCAGCTACTGAGGAAGTTTCAAAAGTAGGTTGGCAAAGTGAAACATCACAATTCCTCATGCAGTTTCAAAAAGATTTTGTGGCTTGCTGTGTCACTAAAACCTGGAGCGATTGCCGAGAAATCCGTGGAATTGGTTTGCATTTCCTATTTGATGTCTTCTGTGGGTTGCTCAACCATTGCTTGTCTGTTACTCAAAATTGTTTCATGTGAAGTCTGGGATGTTAGAATATAAGTAATGTAGAATCATAGATTTTTATAGTACAGAATAAGGCCACTCAGCCCATTGTCTCTGTTCCAGGTCCCAAAAGAACTACTCAACTCATCCCATTCTCCAGCGCTATCGCCATAGCTTTCAAATATATAGACAGCTCTTTTTTAAAATCTCCTATGGAATCTGCCTCCACCACTGTCCCAGGCAGCACATTCCAAATCCTAACAACACTGAGTAAAGACCTTTCTCATCTCACTCCTAGCTCTCTTGCTGACAATCTTGAAATTGAGACCCCTAGTTACTGACAAACCAACTAGTAGAAAGCGATTATCCTTCTTTATCCTACAAAAATTTTTCATAAATTTTGAACATCTCAATAAGTTTATCTCTTAATCTTCTCTAGTTTAAGGAGAAGGTCAATTTCTCTAATCTTGCCTTGAAACTAAAGTCTCTCATTCCAGATATCATCATAAATCTCCTTTTGCACTCTCTCCAGGACATCCTTCCTTCAATAAAAGGTGCCCAGAACTGAACACAATACTCCTAATGCTTTGTACAGATGCAGCATCACTTCCTCACTTTTATATTCTTACCTCTATTTATAAACCCAAGGATCCTACTAGCCTTCTGAACAACTATTTCAAATTACCTGGCCACCTTCAAAGAATTATGCACGTGAACCCTGAGGTCCTTCTGCTCTTGTACTCTTCTCAAAGTTGTATAATTAAGCCTGTATGGTCTCTCCATGTTTCTTCTACCAAAATGCATTACCTCACATTTCTTTGCATCGAAATTCATCCACCAGGTGTCTGCCCATTTGGCGAGTTTATCAAGTCACTCAGCACCATCCTCACAATTGACTATTTTCCCTAGCTTAGCTTGATGATCAGGGTCTTGAGCTCGATAATCAGCCATGAAGGGTCAAATGGCCTATTCCTGCTCCTATATTCAACATAGATACATAAAGCAGATATATTCCAAAAACGATATAATTGGTCACATCACAACTCTGGTTAAATTTAATATTTCTTATGACTAGTGGAGCAGTGGGACTGGAAAGGAATCAGGGTACTCCTTCAAACTCAGTTGTAACATCACACATAACAGGAGCGACATAACACAACTAATTCAGAAGTAACAAAAGACATGATGGGCAGATTTATAAAGAACAGCAACCAAATCATATCATCCTTCCCTCTCTTATTTAATTCAGAAGTCAAATCAAAGAGGAAGCTCTATTGAACTTTTATTTCATGAAGAACAGTCACCAATGTAAGAAACAAACTCTCATTTAAAAACAAAAATACTTACTGCCAAAGATTTGGAAAGCCGCTGTCGGAATTCATTCAGGACTATAATCACTATCTCTGGGTGAGGTATGTATGCAAAACCATTTTTAACAAAGACCTTCCGAACTCGGACCAGCTCAAGAGCGTCAGTGAAGTTGACCTGATGGAGTCAAAGAGAAAAATGTTGAAAATCTGCAAAAATTATGTACAGAATCAATCTTCACTAACCATAAAAATTAGAGTGAGCATGAATTTGAGTAAACTCCATAATTCTCAGATTTTTAGATCACAGCTAACGGGCTCCTTGAAACAATGGTATTTATTCCAGAGTCTTAACTGTACATCTTAAGCAACCTTGACTAAACGTAGAAAATCAGACCATTTGCTATGTCAATTTAAACGTTGATGTTAAAATCAGCTGCAATGTATTACAATAACTGTAAAAATATAAAGATTAATGATTCTTTAATTAATTGAGCAAGTACTGGCCTTGACTCTGGGCAAGAATGCAACAGCACGTAAGGTACAGTAATTGTCTCCTTCTAAGAAACAAGGACTGTGAATTGATTAAGTTTGGACTTCAAATTACTTCAATTCAAGTAAATTGAAAATTACCACCTCGTTAATTTTTAATGGCAAACATAGTACTCACGTCTCCTTGCAATGGCTGAGCTCCTGCAGCAACAGATGTCTCATGGCATTGGTTAAATTAAGCCAGAGGGTACAATAACTGGAGCTTATACCTCACAACGCACACAGCATTTTGATAGCTTTTTCTTAATGGGCATAAGGGACCTCCGTTAGGGAAAGCTATTCACTACTAAAATGGAGAAATGTGTAAATATGCTTTATGCTACAAGCTTCACCCCTTTGAAGAAAGTGCTTTGAACCAGTTTATCCTACGGTCAATTAGAGACCGATTCTTGTAACAGAGAGATGTTTAAGTGTTCCATTCCAATCTATTTCCACTTTATCAATAACGTGCAAAACCCAAATGGCATGCATAGTACATAGGTAAGTCTGTTCAACACATTTTGTGACAGAATGGCTGATCTCTATCTCATCTCCATTTATCTGCCTTTGATATTCAAAATGAACAACAATCAATTCTCTCTTGATAATTTCAACTGACCCACCATTCATTGTGCTTTGAAACAAAGAAATCCACATTTGCATAAGCTGCCATTAGCAAAAGTGCCTCCCAAATTCACCAACAGCCTAAATCTAACATAAAGGTTGCGGTCCACATTTAAGGTTCTCCACACAACCCTGTTCCCCACCAACAAAACCTGAGGAAACAGTTCCTCTCATTCTGTTCCATCAACTACTTTTATCATTTTATCTCAATTAGATCAACTCCTTAACCTTCTCAGGTCAAGGCAATACCATGTCTATAACATGTCATCCTTATTTAGGCACTTAAGCCCTGGGTATTACTAGTATTATACTTGGCATTACTCAAGTAAATCTGTGCTGTACTATTTGCAAGGACACCATATCCTTCATCTACAAACAGTGTAATATCATGCTTTCGCACTCAGTGACAAATCCATGCAAGATTGAGTGACGGAGGTGCGATCAAAGGTGTATAAAATATATGTATTAAAAAAGTTTTTGAGCCTGGATTATAAGTAGATGCAGATGAGTATTGGTTAGTTCCATAAAGGGTTTACTTTTTTAAAAATAAGATCAGAAAGCCCTTCTAGAACAGTGACTTAAATCCAGTATTTGTTAGAAAACAGGTGACTATAGGCCCCTGTGGTGTTAACAGAAATACACTGACACTATTGGATTTATTATCATGTGTACTCCAGCAGAGAAGTACAGGAATACAGTAAAAAGTTTTTACAATGGCTTTCTTTAATGGAGCCATCTTAGGTACAAGTACCCAGAAACAAATCTTAGAGAGTTAAAAGAAGTGTTGTTACAGAGTAAAAAAAATATACATAAGCATAAAACAGTGAAAAAGTCCAGAATGATAATAAGGGACTATGAGTACTTAAGTTACAGTCCATGCCTACAGGCCCCAGAGGCGAGGCCGCACTGCCTCCATGTGCCGGCCTCCATCCAGGACTCACTCTGCCACCACTCCAGGACACAGCCCACGCTCGCTCCGTTCCATCGCGGGACATGGCCTGCTCGCTCCACCTGTGAGCTTCATTTTCATTTCACAAGAATCTAGGATGAGCACGTGTTTTTAAATTCAGTTGAGAAGACACCAACTTGAGTTTAGAAGCACGTTTAGTTTCTCACCTATTCATAGCCCATGGAACAAGGCAGCTCAATGGAAGGGTTTAGCTTGTGAAACTTTCAAGTCAGGAGAGGCAGGTTTGAAATCGCAGGTTATTACAACTGAGAAAGCTTAGACTCTCAGATTTGACAGAAGTTCACATCAGCATGTTTGGAAAGGATTCATCAAATCTTCTTCACAGTCCATAATAAAGAATCACAGTCAGCCACTTGTTAATCAGAACACTGAGGGGTTGAGATAGGAGTGTAATTTCTCTAGACTTAACTCCATGTAGCAGATAGTGTCAGGAAGTTTAGTTTTGCTGTACGTTTTGTGATCATTCTGTTGTATATCTTTAGATAGCTTTTTCTCATTTCTTCTGTTATAAATTTCTGCTCTGTCATTAAAGGAAACCTGCAGCCTCATATGAATATGTTTTAGTGATGAACCGCCACTATAACTAACCAGCTAAACAAAAAGAAATTCCATCAAGCCAGGTTTCATCCCCAGATTGAGCTCATCAGTCATACCATCAGAGACAACAAGGTGCAGAGCTGGATGAACACAGCAGGCCAAGCAGCATCATAGGAGCAGAAAGCCTGACGTTTCGGGCCGAAACATCAGCCTTTCTGCTCCTATGATGCTGCTTGGCCTGCTGTGTTCATCCAGCTCTGCACCTTGTTGTCTCGGATTCTCCAGCATCTGCAGTTCCTACTATCTCTGAGTCATACCATCAGCTTGGATTGTAATAGTAATGATATCATCCAGCAGAGTCACTGCATTTGATAGTTGGTTCAAGAGGGAGGGGCACAAACTAAAGCTCTGGATTGCAGCAAGGCAAACACAAGGCAGAGAAATAGATAATCAAAAACAAACAGGGATAAATGGTCAGTAAACCTACAGATAAAAAATAGAAAGTCTTCAAGAGTTTGGAAGGTTTGAGTTATAAAGAAAGGCTGGATTGGCTAGGACTTCTTTCACTGCAGCACAGGAGTTTAAGAGGTGACCTTCTAGAAGTTTATAAAATCATGAGGGGTATTGATAGGGTTAACGGTGTGTACCTTTTCCCAGGGATGGGGGATTTCAAGACTAGGGGACACATATAGAAGGTGAGAACAGAGAGATTTAAAAAGCATCCAGAAGCTTACAAACTGTGCAGGTGTAGCACCTCATCTGTCTTTGTACACTCAAATTAATTTATTACTTTTACTTATAACTCCGTTACAAATGACATTGTAGGAGTACCCAGATAAAATAAACTGAGAGGCTCAAGAGGCAATTCACCACCACCTTTTCAAGGGCAACGAGGGATAGGCAATAAGTGTCAGCCCAGCCAGCGACGGCCTTATCCCATAAATAAATTAAGGAAAAAAGACTTTAACAATTAATAAAATGAATAAATTATATCTCACTTTAAAGATAATAAGCAAAATGAGAAAAAAAATGAAGGAAACTGAAGTAAACATAGGAAGATAACCTGATGCCACATAAGTCTGCAAGTATTTAGACGTGCACTTGTGATCCCATGGCATACAAGGCTATGGGCTGGAAAATGGGATTAGAATAGTTAGGTGGCTGTTTTAGTCCAGCACAGACCCAAGGGGCCAAAAGGCCTTTTTCTGTGCTATAGATCTCTATGACTCCATAACCTATGAAAACAAAGTAACTGCAGGCAGCTCACTACCATCACCTTCTCAAGAACAATTAAGGATGGGTAAATGATACCCACAATCCATGAACAAATCTTTTACAATTCTCAAAATCGATGACAAATGTTTCCAATCTTTCAATTTTACCAGTTAGGTTGGCCTAATCGGTGCTTTTTTATTGTCGCAGCGGTTTTGGTGCAGTACCTGTAAATAAGTAATCCTCTTTCAGAAAACCCAGCTTCCTTTGCTGTGACCAGAGACTGACCATACTAACAGTTGATTGCAGTCTAGGCCTCAAAAGCATTGGAATTAGTTTGTAGATACCCAATGTTAAGATGAACCTCAAGGGCAGGCTTGAAATATCAGAATGTCCCACAGATTTCAAGTTTATTCCATCAGACTAACAGTGCTTTAAGATCTCAATGAAAAAATGCACTGCATTTAGCTCAACAAATGACAATAACAAGGACATTGTCTGTAAAGTAAGTGCTCAGATATAATCTCTTTACAAATATTTCTTAAATTCGTGCGCCTAAAAGTTCCAAAATTTAGACAAATTTGCCATTAACCAGACACAATCACTTGTGGAAAAAACAGACATTTTAAAAAAGGACAATATTTTGAAAAAAAGTCACAAGTGTCAAACAGTTCCTTACATTCACTTTGCTCTCACCTTGTAAAACAACCATTCACCTATTTTAACTGAGCTGTATCCACCCGAATCGGCCAGTTTCATCTTCAGATCTTCTTTTTCATTTGTTTCAATCTGAAATAAAGAATTACTTAGGTCAAGATTTAGTTTTGGCAATCACAAATAACTCAACACAAGCCACATTTGTCCATGGCAAGGAAAGTGGAATTACATGGGAGAACCACACATTGTTGCTCAAACAACATGCTGATCTGGATGATTAATTGAAGTATTCAGATGGGCAACATACAAGCATGTGGCAGCTAAAAGTCACTTGCCAACATAGCACTTTGGAGACAGAGAAGATGAGCTGTAATTTCAAGTGAATCAAGTTTTTTTCCAATATTTGAGGAATGTACAGAGTTTTGAAACTTGCCCCAGCTGTAATTTAGAGACTACCCACACACTAACACAATTCCAGGCATGCAGTTACAGCACAACAAAAAAAAAAACAAACAAGCAAGTCCCTGAACAGAGATAGTAGGAACTGCAGATGCTGGAGAATCCGAGACAACAAGGTGCAGGGCTGGATGAACACAGCAGGCCAAGCAGCATCATAGGAGCAGAGAGGCTGACGTTTCGGGCCTAGACCCTTCATCAGAAAAGGGGGAGGGGAAGGGGGTTTTGAAATAAATAGGGAGAGAGTGGGAGGCGGATAGAAGAGGGATAGAGGAGAGGATAGGTGGAGAGGAAACAAACAGGTCGAAGAGGCGGGGATGGAGCCAGTAAAGGTGAGTGTAGGTGGGGAGTTAGGAAGGGGATAGGTCAGTCCAAGGAGGACAGACAGGTCAAGGGGGCGGGATGAGGTTGGTCGGTAGGAGATGGAGGTGCGGCTTGAGGTGGGAGGAGGGGATAGGTGGGAGGAAGAACAGGTTAGGGAGGCAGGGACGAGCTGGACTGGTTTTGGGATGCGGTAGGGGGAGGGGAGATTTTGAAACTTGTGAAATCCACATTGATACCATTGGGCTGCAGGGTTCCCAAGCGGAATATGAGTTGCTGTTTAGTCCCTGAACAAACTAGCGGTCTTAAATGTTGTCGTCAAAAGCAAGGAAACTGTGAATTACTATGCCAAAGGTTAGTTATCATGAAAGCCTCCATCACCCCAATTTTTATTAAATCAAGACAGAGAATGACCTAGATTTTACCACTGAATCTATGGAGAACTCCAACAACAGCAAGACTGTGGAGTTTCATCATTACAGTGTGAAACCAACAGGAACTTCTGGCATCTATACATGTATAGAAAGAGAAGTGATCAGCAGTTCCTCCACATGGCGCAGGGTGGGAAACTGGAAAACTCTTCAATTTTTGAACTTCCACTTTCTAAATATTATTTTTATTATAGTCATTTATGCTGTTCCAAAAGACCTTGACAGAGATTTGTCTGATTGATTGAGGGGTGGATGGGTTTTAAACAACTCAAGTCACAATCAGTAAATCTCTCTGGTCGTGAAATATAAAAATTATTCCATATACTATTAGAACTATAAGAAAAATAATTTTAAGTTCATTAATCAGTTTATGCCTTAATCTCAGACATACACAGCAATTTTTATTTTGTTTTCTTTCTGTCATGCGGATCAGAAGTGAATCAGAACCTGGTTTCCACATTCTGGGTTGCTGTCTTTGACATAGCTTCAGAGTGATTCACATCAAATAAGTTGACAACATTACTGTTGCTGGACAACATGAATCCCCCTCGACTTGGCACCAGAATTAAATTAGGAAAATTGGGAAATGTGAAATCCATGCCAAAGAGAACTCCAGCTTTATAGGAAATGTTTCTCAAGTAGAGGGACCAGAGCCACGATTTTGCCACTGGGTACTAAACTGGGCCAGTGAGCTTTCATTTTACCCCCCTCCACGCCTCGGAGAGGGGGTGCAGCACTATGTCATGGAAAGTGGGTGATGCTGGTTAGGCCAGTATTTCCTTCCCATCCTTAATTACCCTGGAAAGGTGGTGGTGAGCTGATTTCTTAAATCCCTGCAAGTTTAGAGGTGTAGGTATACTCACAGTGCTGTTAGGGAGGAAGTTCCAGGATTTTGACCCAGCAACAGTGAAGGAATAGCAATATAGTTCCAAGTCAGGATGATGTAGGACTAGGAGAGGACTTGTAGTTGGTGATGTCCCATGGATTGGCTGCTTTTGTTAGATAGTTAATGTTTAAAGCACCATACAAACCATCCATTTAAGATGGAAAACAGAAACAGAGGCAGCCATCCAGCCCCTTAAAACTTATTCTATCATTTATTTTAAAGCACGAATAATCAGGATCTAAACTGCCATCTACCTGCCTTGGATCACAAAGTCCAATATACTCACCGAACAAAAATCTAGCAACCTCAGTTTCAAACCAGGAACTGATTCCAACCTCTTCAACGGTGCAAGTTCTGGATTTCCATGAATCCAATTTCCAGCTACTTGTAAAATATTGGCATTTCTTTCAGCATCTTGACTTAAGAGTTGGAAATAACTGAACATAAATTCAACTGTATAAAAAACAGCAGTTCCCATATTTGCCCAACTAACAAAGGTGCATAAATGTAAAAAGTCAAAGCTGAGCGCATTGATAGCTACTTTCCAAGTGCCTGTTTCCCGAATGCCTCAGAAAATAAACAATTTAGTGCAACTTCAATGACTGGTAAAACACCATTTAGGTATATTCAATGCAATCCTTTACTTGCAAAGTCACAAACTGTCAAATACTGTAGGTCTCAACAGCTGTGGCTCAGGGCTGCACTTGCCTTACGTAGAAACATAGAAGATAGGAGCAGGACCTCCTCAGTGATTCTTCACGATCATGGCTGATCATCCAACTCAATAGCCTAATCCTGCTTTCTCCCCATAACCTTTGATCCCATCCAACCCAAGTGCTAGATCTAGTTGCCTCTTGAATACATTCAATATGTTTTGGCATCAGCTACTTCCTGTGGTAATGAATTCCACAGGCTCATCACTCTTTGGGTGAAGAAGTCTCCTCATCTCCGTCCTAAATCGTCTGTCCTGAATCCTCATACTGTGGCCCCTGTTCTGGATACACCCAATCTTTGGGAACATCCTCCTTGCATCTACCCTGTCCAGTGCTGTTAGAATGTTATAAGTTTCTATGAGACCCTCCCCCATTCGTCTGAACTCTAGTGAAAACAATCCCAACCTAGTCAATTAATCTCTCCTCATACGGCATTCCCGGAATTAGCCTGGTAAACCTGTGAGAGCAAGAGCATCCTTCTTCAGAAAAGGAGACCAAAACTGCACACAATATTCTAGGTGTGGCCTCATTAAGGCCCTAAATAACTGCAACAACACATTCCTGCTCCTATACTCAAAACTTCTTGCAATGAAGGCCAACATTCCATTTGCCATCTTTACTGCCTGCTGCACTTGCATGCTTACCTTCAGCAACTGGTGCACAAGGCAATCCAGGTCCCACTGTGCTCTCCCCTCTCCCAATTTGTTTACAGTTGTGTCTTACAGTTAGACTCGCACTCTCACTGTTTTCACCCCAGCTCCAATCCATTATTATTAATCAATCAGCATTGCCCACATCATTCAGGGCCCTAAAAGATTCCACCCAATGTCTTCTGATGAGGGCCAGATTCAGGGAACAGTCCAGTCTTCATTTTGTCAACTAAAGCAGACAACTGATGAAGTGCCTAAAATAGCACAGGCCAGCTGTTGAGGATGACTATGATTTAACAGAAAGGGTTAGGTTATGCTGGTTACATTTTTGGGAAATATGAGATAATCCACTGGATGGCAAGTGGTAGGATGGAGGGGAGGGGGGGGTGAAGTAGGGGGGAAAAGGGGCACTATAGGTTGGTAGGAATGGAGTTTAGTGAGTTACCAGTCACCCTGAGTCTTTGGGGAAAGACGATGGAGGAGCAGTGTCCTAATCAACAAACAGATCGTTGCAGCAAACCCGGAGGGTGGGACCACTGAATTGCTTTTGCAGTGTTGTTTTTGGATCAGTCTGAATGCAGGTGGAGAAAGAGAGCCTATAAGTGGGTTACAGCATTAACAAGTAGGGTTATTTACATGTGGCATGGTAGCTCAGTGGTTAGCATTGTTGCCTCACAGAACCAGGGGCCCAGGTTCAATTGCAGCCTCAAGAGACTGTGTGGAGTTTGATCGTTCTTCCGGTGTCTGCTTGGGTTTCCTCGAGGTGCTCCAGTTTCCTCCACAATCCAAAGATGTGCAGATTGGGTGGGTTGGCTATGCTAAATTGTCCATAATGTCCAGGGATATGCAGGCTAGGTGGACTAGCCAGGCTAAACGCAGGATTTCGGGGATAGTATAGGGGGCTGGGGCTGGGTCTGGGTGGGATGCTCTTCGGAGGGTAGGTATAACTTGGTGGACCAAATGGCCTCTTTCCACACTGTAGGGATTTCATTATTCTAGCAATAATTCACAAATAATTTCTGGACCACAAATATTCAATTATTTATAACAAAAAGTACGGAAGGCTTTCAATTAACCCTGGTCTAAAAGCCAGGTAAATTGTGAAATTCTGCGTACTTTTCAAATTTTTAACATTTTTGACAACTTCAGAAATTTCAGGGTTTAACTTCCAGCACATTATGCCAGTGAAAGACAACCTTCATTGTTCAACTCGTGTGCAATTTAAATTGCAGCTTTGCTTTTTTTTTATAAATTACAAACTGAAATGCAATTTTCAGAAACACTGGTTAAAATAAACTATCACAGAAAAAGCAAAATCAAGTGAAAGAACATTATGTTCAATATTTTGTTGGGCAATCCCCTAAAAAGTTAATTAACATCTATAGATTACAAAGCAATTATGTTTAATTGTACTTCCACATGAATATTTTATGATCCTTAATGCATCAAAATTGCATGTAAAAAGTTTATTATACAATAATTTTTTGGCACGATGCTGGGAATCAAGTTTGTCAATTTGCCTGATTTTTGTTTCTGGGACCAAAAGTCTACCTTTGAAATTTCTTTGATAAAGCTCCTCCTGAAAAGTACAGTGGAAGTCCATTATAACTAAGTGCAATCCCCCAGGAATTCCCTTATAGTAGAGGTTTCATGGCTCCAAAAAGAGGTAAACGTT